GTCGACGTCTCAGACACACACACACACACACACACACACACACACACACTGTGTACACAAACAGAAAGTAAAAGTCTCCATTTGTTTCTCGTTATTATTATTTTAGAAGTGAGAAGTGGGCTGTGGATGCCAAACCCTTATCTTGTCATTCAAAGTATCACTACGGCAACTCAATCAGTTGTTATGAGGAGAGATATTAACATGGCTCACTGACTCCAATGTTAGTGAATACCTGTTTTACTTGACAGTCGAATCAGACCACATGAACAGGCTACAATCACCGAGTAATATACACCCTTGCTTAGTTTTTAAAAACATTTTGAAACAGAAGCAATGCAATTGAGTCCTCGACAGTATTGAGTGTATGTAAGTCGCGTTGTCCCAAGTTCTTATTGCGAGAGTGTTTGAAAAGTAAAGATCTGAAGATCAAATGCCAAGATGTTCCCCCTGCTCTCACACTGGGGTGTCTCATCTCTCATCTTTGCTCCCACAGCCTTCCAGATTTCTGACTTTGACATATTTGTACTGGAAAGTTGTTGCTATGGGTACCATGTAACAGCAGCCAATCAGGTGGGGGGAATCTTTTCTAAACCATCTGGGGCCAAGGATTACATCAACTTTAAAACTTCTCTTTGAATATCTCCCCCTTCTCTTTCTCTCTGTCTGCCATCCATTTCTCCAAATAACTCTACCCTTGTCTGACCATGATCTTTTCTCTCAGCCTCTCTTAATCTCCATCGCTCTTTGATCCGTCTCACTCCGTTGGCATCTTAGATATTTTTTTTCTTCAGTCAGAATCCTCTGGCTACTGATCCAGAATAACTTTAATCACTAAGCAAATAACATGTCATGTTTTCTATGATGGCTTGGGTGTAAGACACACTGTAGCTTCATCAACATTGTCAGAATAAGTATGGATCCTCCTGTGTGTTTTCATGTTTTTCCAGGTTACATTTCCTTCCAACAACTTATTCACGTTGGGTAGCTCTAACCTAATGTACATGCAAGCTCAAAAAATGTGCCCGACAGCTGGTTAACTCACAGTAAGAAGCAGGGTTCCTGGTAGATTAGTAGAGTCCCCTTTGACCGGTTCACTCACACTGTCCCCCAGCCTGTGCTCTGATTGGTCGGAGGGTTAAAGAGCACCATGATCACCATGAGGAAGATGATCTCTACATCTTCCTCTCTGTCAGGGTTAGTCTTTTTTATTGTGCCACTCTCTTTTCTGCAAGCTGCTCGAGCAGATCCTTCTCTATTGCAGCACAGTAGCTGTGACAGATGGCCCTGCATGATTTCACACGTCAGACCCGGGGATAGAAACCGCTCACACACACTAATACACACTCACAGTGAGAAAGAAGAATGACTAATGAGCATTTTGCATGTGATGCGAAATGCTGTGAGCTGAACACGCTAGCTGTTTAAAGCTAGGATGTGCAAATATAACTTAACACTTGTCAATAATTAAAGCTTTTATGTTTACATGATTAAAGCATTAATCAAATTAATCTGATGAGGTGGGAAACAGTCACACATTTAGTTCCATTTAGTAGCTGTACTGCAGATTTTGATCACATCATATAATCCTCAACAGGTTTCTTACTTACTGTGAAAACGAGTTATTAATACATTGGGTTGTGCAAAAGTGTGTTTTTATATACTACCACTGGGGGCGCCAACATTCTACACATAGTGAATAAAGAACCTTAAAGTGGACCTATTATGCTATATTTGAATAATATAGTGTAGGACCATACCTATATAAGGCATGTTTATACTTTAAGTGAGAAATGGATTTAACTTCTGTTAGACAGCCATATGCCATACAATTTTGCTTACATTCACAGTAAATATTTATTCCGTATGATANGAAATTAGAGTATTGAGAAACCGCTTATGTCTCTGTGGGACCTGTATATATTTGTATCTTAATTTGCTTTGCAAGTTGGCTGGTGAGCCCGTTTTCTGCTTGTCCATCATTGGTAATTAAACCTCCCTTTGTAGCTTCAGAAGATCAGTTGCCGCTCTTTTTTTCTCGTGCCTGGTCATTTCTGTGTTTTGTTACTCCCCTTCGTACCCCTAGATTAGGAGGGAACGTGTGTGTGTGTGTGTGTGTGTGTGTGTGTGTGTGTGTGTGTGTGTGTGTGTGTGTGTGTGTGTGTGTGTGTACACCTGTTAGATAAACACTTATAATAGCAATGTTTGCCATCATTTACTCTCTTTGTCAGGGTTGTTATGAATCTTTGCTGCACTGGGTAAAACAAAAATGATCCTTTTGGCTTATCAGGTTCTTCTCATTATGACAGATCCTTGTCTTTTGAAAGAGACAGAGTTTTGATTACACACAGTCTGTAAGAAGCTCAAAAACTGCACGGTAAAAGTAAAGACTATTATAAGAACAGCATCAGACAAGGCACTGTATCCCTGCAATCAAATGTGTTGATTCTTTGGTGACAAAAGAATGAAGGCTATAATTTTCGTTAGTCACTTCATCATTTAGGAATTTGAGAGGAGCAGAGGTTGATTTCAAGAGGAACGCACACCACAAGCTTCTTTGTTTTAGTAATTATAGCAGGAGCAGAGGGATGCTTAGAGATGACGGACAGAAAAAAACATGCTGTGAAAGACACCACAACTGTAAAATGTACAATGTTGATTGGTGTAAAATTAGTCTGAAGTGGGTGTTTGATCTTTCTACTGATGTCATAATAGGCCACACTTTTACATTTTCAATTGGTGCGAAAATATAAATAGAGCTAAATATGGGGTGTGGAGTCTTACATCTGGAGTCAGAGGTATGGAATAGACAAAATCACAACAACAAAAAACAGCAATGACAGAAAGCTGAATACACCAAATGTGTAATGAAATCACAGGTATGTTTTTATGTAAGGGGTAACTTATATTGTCCAGTCCTTACTGTTGCTTCTGAGAATACATTCAAATGAGGAAGGAATACCAGCTGCCAATATACTGGTACAGATGACGTGCATATTAGAGCGAGCACTAAAGCCTCAGTAAAGGAGATCCTTATGATGTTTTTTATTCTCCTTAATGTCTGCCAGTTTAGATTGTTCTCTTTTTTCTTTGTCACATGCTTCGATAAGGTTTCCATCAGAAAAGAGAGCCAAGAGGATTTTGCTCAAGCAGCAGGGTGGAATGAAGCGAGGAGAGTGGTGAAAAAAATCATTTTCAATATATATTTACTTCTCAGATAAGCGGATGCTGCTGAAGATTCAAACGAATGTCACTGACTGCGACAGTTCATTATTATATAGGAAGTGGCATGGTGTTTCTCATTGGACGTGCCAGGCATTGCACCATATGCTTGAAGGGGTTGATTGCAAGAGCACTTAGTCATCAAGTATAAAGTACACATGCAGCTCTTCATATCATTAACCTCTAGATGTTAGAAACTTAGCTAATTCATATTCTGCAGGGATTTCAGATGCACTTTATTACGGTGCTAAGGGAAAGTGAATAGGATAATTGGATTCAGTATGACTGGTTAAAATTAAGTCTGATTATTTTGATGTTCAACTCATTCTTTGCGATAATTCATTTAGCTTTTGTCCTTTGCATGAAATACTTGGATTGATATTCAAATTGTTCTCAAACAACATTGTCGTCAAACCATCCTCTTATCGCAAAATACAGCTTATCATCCTCGCCGCAAATCAATTACGCACAAAGACTTTGGCAAATTTACACAGCAGAGCATTAGGTTTGATGAGGGAGCTACATTTCCAAACTATATCCTCTGTAATGTTTACTTTATATGTTTATCCTCTAAAATACATTACCTAGCTTTTATCTTTACCCTGCCCATTTCCAATTATTTATTACCAGAGCATTACAAATACATTTCCCACACTGTATACATTTTCATTAAAATGCTCAATCCCTTTTCAAAATACATGACTGTCTTTAATTTAAGTAAAGAGCCAGTGAACTGTGGCAAAGCTTTCATTTCAGTGTGTTACTTATGAACCCCCCCTTTCTATTCTATCATCATACACTCGTCATTCCCGAGGGTCCAACAGAGAGAAGGAGAGATTTAAGGAAGGACCTCACCCTCCCAGAAAAAATAAATAAC